TTTTTTTTATTATTTAGTGCGACATGTCCACTTTTAAGTTACATGAACAAAAAATTATGATTTTTTCTTTAAAAACATTAAACATTGTTTTACTTCAACGATCAAACAAAATTGTATGGTAATAGTTAATTTCTTACTATTTTGTGCACCAAAAAGCGTTTAATAATATAAATTTTACTTTTTATATGAATAATTATTTTAATTTAATGCCGCTACCCTAAATTGGCAATGTTCACCCCAATGAACAGTTAAAATTCTCCATATATTTGGCAGTGTTCATCGGGATGAACATTGTTTTTTTTCTATTTGGTAAAGTTCCGATTTTTTATATATTTTTTTCTGACCTATAAATAACCCTAAGAACATAAATCCGACGATGTATTTTTATTTTTTGATAAATAATGAGTCTGCCAAATTAAGGGTTAAGTAGGTACCTATTAGATACAGTTCGGCCCACGGCTTTGTTTGTGTGGAGTTCGGTATTTTACTAAAAGCACTAAAATAACTAATTTTGTGCTGAAAACCTTTATTCTGAGTGCTCTACCATGCAGCTACCTTATCATGTATTCACAATAGCATATGTAGGTACTCGTAGATACAGTAGCATCCATATTTTTTTCTGAAAAACTGTCAGCGACGAGTAGGTTCACAACTTGATTGTTTTTATGCACCACCTTTATGTCAGGAAAACGATTTACTTGCCTTGCATGATCGTTACATAACTTGCAATGTAGGCGATTTAAAAATAAAAAAACATAATAAATCCAAATGACTCTATCACGGTATCGTTATTTCGAGTTAGTGGATACCGTGATGTTACAAATGTCAAATGATTTTTCCAACTTTCTGAAAAGTAAGCTTTTAAAATGTACTTTATGTTCTTGTAAATAGAGACGAGGATATTAAAGTGAATTAACTTGCAATGTTAAGTGCACGTTTCGACCACGACACGAGGGCGAAACGTGAAATGTCTCGCGTCGTAATGTGGTGATAGCTGGTGATGGATGTGACGTGACTTCTCCGGTGGATGAGATGATTACCATGTTATGTGAATTTGAGTTGAAGTTATTGAACCCAATGGCTCCCATGATGGGGTGTAAACCAATGAACATGAAGTATCTAAAAATGCTAACTTCCCCCGATTGTTTTAACTTAATTTTCTTAATAGGTATCTATCTTATAAGGTTTATGCGGATATTCAATTTTGCCCAACATCAAGATCAAAATCAGAAGAACTAGGAGCTAATAAAACATTCGATTTCGGTTCGAGAAGGCTTATCAGGGTGTTATGTGAATTCATTTATTGATCACTGGTCTCTCCAATGCAATGATTGCACTGGGCAAGAATCCATCCAAGTACGTATTGAAATAGTGCTTGAGATGTTAAGTTATCCTATCCACTGTTAAACTTACTGGCCAGTCTATATCGACTATCGACGCTTGTAGCAGTATTTCCTCAGTCACAGAGACCAATCGAAGGTAATAGCCCGGTGGACCATTTCAAATGATTGTAATCCGACGTCCGCGCCTTTGATCTACCAATTAACGATTAGCTATGCGCGTGCGCACGACTCTGGTGCGCGCTCTAACGATGCATAATTACTGTGCTCTATTGCAATCGGAATAAGTTTCAAGTTCCAATGATGGGCGGAAGATGGGTATACCATCAACACGATTCTTCATAGGACGCTCGCTCGGCGTAATGAGGTTCGATTCTAGGATGGACGTTAGGTATGTTTTTATTTATAGAACATTTTCAAGTACAAAATTAGAATGAAGCAAATTAACATAATGTATTATGGAAGAAAGATATATTCGTAGAGATGAAATAAATTCAATCTTTGTATCTATTAGATGTTTTAGTTTAAAACAGTGCTTCACAGGAAAACGGTGTTTTATAAAATGAGAATTAGTAGGTAATGTATATTGAAAGACCTCCTATTTCGTAACAAAGGCAAGTTGTTAGGGTTTTAAAAAAGCCGAGCCCTTAGAATATCCGAGTCATTTGCATTACGCAAATTCTTATCTACACTAATATTATAAAGAGGAAAACTNATTATTCATTTCATAATGTGTAATATTTTTTAAATATTGGTTGTCATTATCATTTTCAGTGGTAACAATAAATATTTTTGTAGAATCTATAAAAATCAATTAAGTATTAAATTTTAAAATGTGCTGTCTTGTCAATATTTTATTACATAATTCTCTGTTTTGATTTATAAATGGCAAGAAATTTTATACATTAATCAAGGTTAAGCATTTTTCAAATCGTAATTTCAAGTATGTATTAGAAATTAATTTTATCAAAGTGCCTAAGTAAGTGTCGAGCTATTTGCGGTTCACATTCGTCAGCGAATTCCTTCAGGTAGTCATGGTACTGTTACGTTAGTTGGTTTTAAATTTCATCATTTCTGTACCAAATAACTGATAAAAGTATTTTTTATGAGCTTATAGCATTTATTTGTATTTTTCAAGACATTAAATTTAAAGTTAAACATCATATTCTCAATTGAAATTTCAAACAGTTTTAATGCTTCAACTTTATTTCCTATCTTTGTAATAAATGTGCAAAAACGTACTTATTTTTTTTTACTAAATTCAAATAACTAAGAGTTATTTACGATAGCAGAGATTTAGTTGTAATTTACAAGAATCTTTTCAAGCTCAATGCACTATATTGAGCAATTTCTACCAGTCAACTTTTCATGTCGCAACTTTTAAGTTCTATTTGAACGAAATTATACATTTTATCCTATTTTTTTTAATTTAATAAATTATATCCATTTGATATAGCTAAACTACTTGATATTTTACCGAATGACTATTTAAAAAAATAATGTAAATGTAAGTTACTCTAAATACAGCGTTTATTAACTTTGTTCAGTTTATCATGATTTATCTAAAAATCAAAGTAAATAATTATTGTGATTATCATTGTTCAACATTTTAACTCGATCCGATTTTTTTTTTCAATTTACATATTTTCCTATTTATTTATTTTTTTCATATTTTCCCCACATTACACCCCCTAGTGTCTTAGTATGTCGCTCGTTTGCAACCAGTGCCTCGCCCGCGCTAGTGTCGCACCCTGGTGACCAGCTGTGATGACGTCATACCTTGACGAGCGGGTGGCGGTACATGTAGCCGGTGCGGAAGTGTCTTAGTGGCGCCCTAGTATCTTGCTTGCATCCTATAAAGTCTCAGTGACGCCCTAGTGTCTTGCTTGCCCTCTAGTGTCTAAGTCCCTAGTGTTTCGCTGGCGGCCTAGTGTCTTGCTTGTCCCCTAGTCTCTCTAGTGTCTTAGTATGTCGCTCGCACGCGCCCTAGTGACTCCCTCGCGCTCGCTCTAGTAACTTGATTGCCTCCTAGTGTCTCGCTAGCGCTCTAATGCCCGCTCGCAGTCTGGTGACCTCGCTCGCTCGCGCTTAAGCGACTCCCTCGTTCCCTCGCTCTCTCGAGTAATCTGATTCGTTCACGCTGTAGTGACTCTCTCTTTCTCTAAGTGACCTGCTGTAATGATGATGATGATGCTGGCACTTCAGTTACTTGTGTCCTAGTGTCTCCCTCTCGCCCTATAGTGCCTTGCCCGCGCCTTAAGTTTCTCTGGTGCCATTCGCCTGTGGTACGTAGTGTGGTGGCGGTAGATGTAGCCCGTTCGCTCGCAGTCTAGAGACCTCTCTCGCTCGCACTCTAGCTAGTGATTCTCTCTCTCGCTCTCTCTCTAGTGACCCAGCCTACCTTGACGAGCGGGTGGCGGTAGATGTAGCCGGTGCGGAAGTGTCTTAGTGGCGCCCTAGTGTCTTGCTTGCCCCCTAGTATCTTAGTATGTCGCTCGCTCGCACCCTAGTGATTGCGCTCGCACTGTAGTGCCTCGCTTGCCCCATAGTGCCTCTCTAGTGTCTTTCAGTGTCACTCGCACGCGCCCTCGCGATCTTGTGTCTCGCTCTAGGAACTTGATCGCCTCCTAGTGTCTTGCTAGCGCTCTAGCGCTCGCCCGCTCGCACTCTAGTAACCTGACTCGCGCTCTAGTGTCTAGCGACCTAGCTCTAGTAATGTGTCTTACCCTAGTGACTCGCTCGTCTCCTTAATCGCGCTCTAGAGACCTTGCGCGCTTGCACTCTAGTGACCTCACTCTCTCGCGCTGCGTAGCGACTCCATCTTTCTCTAAGTGACCTGTTGTGTGTGATGATGCTGCCTATCGCCCTATGGTCTCGTCGCGTCCTATTCCTCTGGTTCCTGTGGTACTGAGGGTCGTCTGCCTACCTTGACGAGCGGGTGGCGGTAGATGTACCGTCGTCGCAGTCTAGTTGCTCGTGTCCTAGTGTTTGCCCTATGGTCGCACTTTACTACCATGCCCGCGCCTTAGTTTCTTGGGTGCCATTAGCCTGTGGTACTGTGGGTCGCCGGTCTACCTTGACGAGCAGGTCTTGCAAGCGCTCCAGAAACCGCTCGCCCGCAGTCTAGTGACCTCGCTCGCCCATCTATAGCGACTCCCTCGCACTCTAGTGTCCTGGCCCTGGTCTTCCTCGCATCTTTCTGTCTCGCTCTCACCCTAGTGACCAGCTGTAATAACGTCATTCCTTGACGAGCGGGTGGCGGTAGATGTACCCGGTGCAGAAGCCGGCGTTGTCTCCCTCGCACTCTAGTGTCCTGCCCCTGTCTTCCTCGCATCCTTCTGTATCGCTCTCTATCTAGTGACCAGCTGTGATGACGTCCTACCTTGACGAGCGGGTGGCGGTAGATGTATCCGGTGCGGAAGCCGGCGTTGTCTCCCTCGCACTCTAGTGTCCTGCCCCTGTCTTCCTCGCATCCTTCTGTATCGCTCTCTATCTAGTGACCAGCTGTAATGACGTCATACCTTGACGAGCGGGTGGCGGTAGATGTACCCGGTGCGGAAGCCAGCGTTGTCTCCCTCGCACTCTAGTGTCCTGCCCCTGTCTTCCTCGCATCCTTCTGTATCGCTCTCTATCTAGTGACCAGCTGTAATGACGTCATACCTTGACGAGCGGGTGTCGGTAGATGTACCCGGTGCGGAAGCCGGCGTTGTCCAGCATCCGCATGAGCGCCTCGAACTCCTCGCCGCCCACGCGCCACTTGCCCGCGTCGGACGGCGGCTTGCGGGACGCTTCGAATATCTGCGGGTAGAAATATTGTTGTAAGTAAAAAGTAATTTTTAATCAGAAAATATTTACAGACCTGCCCAAAAGGGCAGATAAAGTTACAAATGTATGGGTTGTAATTTTATTATTTCGAAATTAAATTATCAAGATTATAATGCTCGCGCCGATTGTTACGATCTTATCCATGTGTCGCGCCCTAGTAAACATCAGTCACCTTATGTCTCGCACGCGTGTCCTGTGTCCTGGTGCCTCCGTCGCGCCCTGTGGGCTGAGTGTGAGTTTACATCAAACACACTCACTAATGAACACGTTTAAAAAATGTATGAAAATTTTAGTTTTTGAACGTTTCCCGCTAGGGGCGCTGTACAATCCGTCATACATTTAATGTCATTTTTTGATGTAAGTTCACACTGCCCTCTGCTGTCTGACTCGCGCCCCAATGTCTCGCTTACGCCCAAGTGTCTCTCCGTCGCGAGCTAGTGTCTTACTTGCATCCTTGTGTCTCCGTCGCATTCTGTCTCCGTTGCACTCTAGTGTCCCCTAGTCCCTTGCTCGCGCCCTAGTGTTCCGCTCTAGTGTCGCGCCCTAGTGTCGCGCTCTAGTCCCCCGCCATAATCCCCGCCTTAGTCCCCTTCTAGTCCCCCTGTGTGCTCTAGTGCCCTAGTCCTTCGCTTGAGTCCAGCGCCTCTCCCTCTAGTGTCTCTAGTGTCGCGCAGCTGGACGTCGCAGGCGGCCGCCAGGTGGCGCGCCCTAGTGTCCCGCCCTAGTGTCCCGCCCTAGTGTCGCACCTGTGCCTGCAGGGCGGCGTGTCCCGCTCTAGTGTGGCGCCCTAGTGTCCCGCTCTAGTGTCCCACTCTAGTGTCCCGCCCTAGTGTCGCGCCCTAGTGTCCCGCCCTAGTGTCCCGCCCTAATGTCCCGCCCTAGTGTCCCGCCCTAGTGTCNATTTAAAATGTATGCGCTATAGATGCTAAGAGCGGATTTTACGAAACTCCACCCCTAATGGAGTAAAACGAGGTCCACGCGTACGAAGTCGCGGGCGGCCGCTAGTCTCAAATAAACAAAAGTAAAAGCCATGACAGTTGGCAGAGCAGTGACGTAACGATGATAGATCAGTAAGCGTACAGTCGACAATGATAACAAAGTAGACCAAAGTACATTGGATTTAGAGTGTATTTTGGAACCAAGAGAATTTACGTAAGGAAAACAGTTTGCGAGGAATATTCAAAGTACATGTACAGATAAGATTATGATCAACTTGATGTTGAAATAAGAAACTCAGGTCATGCTGAGAATGTGGAAGGAATTCGAGAGCCGTTTAGGAATCTTGATCGTCCTGATGACTTTTAGTTACGTCATTGGTGGCATTTGAACGGAAAAATGTACAGTCACTGCTGTAAAGTTGCTTGTAGATAATTTTAGTCTTATTGAGATGAGCTTAGAGTGTATAATTGTTTGTTTTTTATATCATAGTCAACACCAGCCAATTGCAGTTCACTGTTGGAGGTAAAGCCCAAAGAGTATGATCAAGACAAGGAGTGCCAAAGAGTATGATCCCTCGCTTTTCCAATATGTACTGTCAGTTATCTTCTTGAGGTCGTCAGGTCATCGGGCTAAGGCTTTGGGTTCTACTGTAGAAACCGTGAACTCCATGTTTGGGTTGTTCTACGAACTGCTACTTTAATTCGCTATTTTTATTGTTACGTACCAAGTTATACCAAACTGTAACTGTATTTTAGACAAGTATATAACAAAATTCATTCTTATTTTGTCTAGATTATGCAACGTTCTTACTTACATAATGTCTCTAAGGTTAATCAGACGTGACTCTACCACCCCTAAGACTCACCTAAAATGCTCGTAACAGTTACTTTTATAACTAACGGTATTATTAATTTGCAATATATTATATGGATGTGTACTTAGTAAGTACTTAATGTTCGTAAAAACAGTTATCATGTGAACTGTACAGCTATTACTACCTGAAAGAGGATCTCGTAAGAACCAGTGGTCAGAAGCAGTGGCAATTGCATCTTTAACAAATATTCTGTTATCGCAGTAGCCACTTTCTTCGAATCATTTCATTGGCATACAACAAAATAGTTTTTCTGTTACGTCATATCTCGGTGTAGAGATCCAGCTATATCGAGGTACCACTACTCAGGTACAACAATAATGTAGAGATTGTAAAGTTAGGGTTGGAGCACATAATAACGAATATTATTATTCGATTTGGTTTATACGTTAGTTCTAGGATGCATATTCGCACCTTATAAATAAAATGAAAAAAAGTCCTTCGATATTCAGCCATGAGCATTTAGACATCTAAAATGGTTTTTATCTTATTTTATAAACTTGTTTCATTAAAACATAACCAAAATGAAAACTCCCCACAAAATGATTTTCCACTTGGTTTGTCACTTTGTCCCAACTAAGCATCGAACCGAAGAGCCCGACTCCACCCAGAGAATCAACTCTCAAACCACTAGACCACAGAGACGTTCTCCAAAACTGTGATCATTGGTATAAAACAAAATAGCATCGCCGTTACATCACTAGAGTGCAGTGATCCCGCGGCTACTATATACGTGGCAACGCTCGGGTTACAATGAAGTTAGGTTTAGGACACATTGATAAACTGATCAAATCTAGAAATAAATCTAAATAATATAATGTGTAACATAGATGCCACAGATTCTGCTACTTTCAGGTTCTATTTTTCTTATATCACCACGACTATCACAAAAAAATATCAAAAGCATCGCTTGAGCTACAATATAGAGTTAGGTTTTGGACACATTCATAAATAGATCAATCCTATTTAAAAAAAAAAACTAAACAAGTTAAGTGTGTACTACGATTTATGGAATATCATATTCCATAAATTGTGCTACTTTCAGGCTTTTCTTTCTTATATCACCACAAGTCACAACTCTATCATAAAAAATATCAAAAGCATCGCGCGGGTTACAATGTAGAATTAGGTTTTGGACACATTCATAAACGGATCAATCCTATTAAAAAAAAATAAACAAGTTATGTGTACTAGGATATTCCATAAATTGTGCTACTTCCAGGTTTTTCTTTTCTTATATCACCTTAAGTCCACAACTCTATCATAAAAAATATCAAAAGCATATTAAAATAAAACGAGTCGACAAAAAAAACTAGACATCTAAACATCTCAATTCACAAAATAACTAAGACATGTAAGTAGAACACTTTTATTACTCTGTCATCGTCGGGCTATCACGCGAAAGAATGTCCGTGGTTATTCACCGGATACCGTACGTATCCATTATTGACGACGTTTTTGTGTTAACATGTCTTAATTTTCACCATCTCGGTTACGTTTGCGAATGTTGCGATGCGACACGCTCAGTCACTCGTGTGATCTTCAGTTTAGGCGGGGATTACACTAATTACCTTACTGAACTTTATTTAAAAAATAATTGTTATTGGAGCATTAACTTTTAATTTTTAATGCAGCAATAAAAAAGTGTATCTTATAGGTAGTGGGGGTTTTTCCTAACGGTGTAAGTTCAGACTCCATATCTGTGTGCTTACCATGAGTTTACGTTAGGTGTACTCGCTAGCGTCTGCGTAAAAAAATGACATTAATTAGTATGACATATTGTGCAGCGCCCCTAGCGGCTACTTTCAAGAAACAAAATCTTCATAGAGATTTTTGACGTAATCGCTAGCGAGCACACCTAACGTAAACTCATGGTAGGTACACTGAGCAAGAACTGCTCTTACGCATAGCTGTTTGCCATTTACCTCAAGTGAACCTGCACTTACCTATATAAATTGACTTAGGCTTAGTTAGACTATACGTATAAGATAAATTATCCGAAATAAGACGGCTTTTTGTTAAAAGAGGTGCTAATAGAAACAACTGACCATATCTGACCGTTTTTTTGTCGCGGAGGAAATGCTTTGCGCACCGTCTCCACTGCCGGGGGACAGGGTGGCGTGTGGGACTCCCGGCGCCCTCAAAAGGGCGCTGCTCCGTCCTGAAAAGGACGAGGTATACCCACTAAAACCTCCGCGGCTTCCGTCATCGCCCGAGTAGGGGTGTCGCGAGTATCCGGCCGTAGCCTTATTTTTCGTCAGGAAAATACATTGATTTGTATAGCCACCAGCCGCGGAGGCATTTACTGGGTTATGTGGGGTTCTCCCTGCCAGAAGGGCAGGGCCTACCTACTAAAAACCTGACGTTGCCCTCGGTAGCCATATGAGTCGGGAACGCGGGACATCACTATTGGCGTTTTGCCTCACTTTTGTGTTGACCGCCTCTACACTGAAATTCACACGTGTGTACCACTCTTAACTACATTTTCTCGGTACAATACACGTGTGTAGGTACTCTCAGTTACTCTGGCCTGCCGAGAGCGATCTTATCGAACTAATCGCACATTGTGTAGCCTAAACTGGTATGGTGCCGGATTGCACGCGTTGCACGGTACTGGTTAAGTGGGTGCGTTTAACAATGAATTCAACAAGTCGTTAAAACAAAAAGGTTTGAGCTTGGGTCTCGACTATCGAACCATTAACTCACTCAACTTGTTTTTTTTTCTAGTTCACTTTGTATTTAGAAAAATCCTAAGTAATGAAAGTGACTACCCTTTAACGTCGGAAAACGCTTTGAGGGGGTTCTCTCCACTAGAGGCAGGATTTGAATCTGTGTCTTAACATGAAAACGGTACCTTTTCTTCAACCTATACAACTGTCTATTAGACTACACCCTACCCACGCTAAAACCAAATAGATTACTACGAGGCGTCCCTATATCATTTTCGCCTATTGTACTTTTCGCCATGTACTTTTTAGATCAGTGAGTCAGGAGATTCTTTGAGTCTTCCAGTCACTTGGCCCACTTTTAGCTTGGTCTACGGGCCAAGTCGCGGGATTGAATTGTTGAATATTTTTCTCGATTCTTTATTTCATTAAAACAGAGTTGTTAGTTAACACACCTATACAATACCATTAAAACTGTCTTTAAAAGAAAGGAGTATTATACTACGAGTATAGTTACTTTTGTCTGCCACTGATGTTTAGCATACATTTGCATCGGCTCCCGAGTCCCGACCCACGACCGCACAATGGACAGTAGCGGCTCTTCCTGTGTCGGGAACAATGCCCATTGTGCCATGTTACCATTTCACCGGCAATTACACACAACGCACAACGCTACCAGCACCACGTGTGTGTTTCTCTATACCAACGGTTTCCAAAGTTTTCAAGTCAAGAATAATTTTAAAAGAACTGCGACGTTCTTTCTCTTCAGTTGACTTGTTGCTGATGTCACTTTAGTGTCGGAATTTGTGAGTTTGGAAGGACAGTTAACAACATAATAGCAGACTATTTTTATAGCAATATTGAACTTATTACAATAGAAAAATCCTTGTGCAGCTAGATGCAACATTTTATTAGAAGATTATGGACGACGACTTTAAGTATTTGGGTTACCGATTTAAGATTACAAAGCAAGATAATATTAGAAAGGAAGCACAACAAAGTAGGTACTTAAGTATTTATCTGATTGCTAAAGAGAAAACTGGTGTTTCATTAAACTGATCAAATCTCTTTTAAAGTGGTAAAGGATAGAGATAGCGATCGGCATCGATCTGAGGACATGTCTGCAGTAGCGGCGTAAGGGGCGGTCCGCCCCGGGTGCCAAGCATCAGGGGGTGACACAAGTCGCGCAGATTAGTACTCACTGGCACATCTGCATGGCAAATCTGCGCTCTATGTCATGATACGGGGGGGTGCGATTGTCTTTCAATCTTCAAATCGGTAGGTAACCCCAAAATCCTGGGGGGTCGCGCAGATTAGTACTCACTGGCACATCTGCATGGCAAATCTGCGCTCTATGTCATGATACGGGGGGGTGCGATTGTCTTTCAATCTTCAAATCGGTAGGTAACCCCAAAATCCTGGGGGGTACCAGGGGGTGTCATAGGACTTGTGAGGGGGGGGGGGGGTGATCGCCCCGACCCATGCTACGCCGCCACTGCATGTCTGTAACCCTCCTGTCAGTCTAATGAGCATGCTTGTCATGTCTTAAGTAGTAAAATGTCCGCGTTAAGCCTGCGACATGTTGAAAACCTTAGCTCTACAGCGTCCATACAAGGCGGTCAAATGGAGCGTCACATTTCACTGATCGACTCGTCTGACGATACATGCGTGCGCGCATCCCATCTGCATATTTGAGTTATTGTTCATGGAATTCATACTTGCCATTCATGTTTACGCCTTACAGGCCATTCGATACCTTATTGTGGATTGGAGAGTAGATTAAATCAATCCTATTCTGCAGTCGCACTCATTAGATGACCAAAATAGATCTGTGATCGTTTGTTTTTGTGGTTTCACTTCTTTTCATTGTATAATGAGTGTTAGATCTTGATTAAATAATTGACTAATAAGTGTTAAACAAAGATTTGAGCTTCTCGCGGCTTTCACAAGACATATTGTTGACGTTATTAATTATTAGGTTTAGTTGTGAATATAAAGCAGCGTTCATATGGGCTAGATAGAGGTGCGAAGTATAGCGAAACAATAGAAGCTGGCTTCCTTGGAACAATGCATTGTGTTGTGTGGGTCGTTTGTAGCTTTCCCAACATACAGATCATTAATGTATAGCTCTTCCACCATTCCCACTCCTCGTAAAGCTGTCTTTAGGATTGTAAATTTATAACACTAGCAAAAACGTCTCAAAGTTGACAATGAAATTAATATGACTCACGTCTAGTTAATCATCACCACGAAAGCCCTGTTGCACCTTATTGATGTGAAAAAGCTTGATTGATTTCTTAGTACCTACCTATTGCACGTAGACTTTTGACTACGATAACTCGATTCACTAGTTTCTAAAATATTTCATGGAGACTCACTCAAATAGAAGGAAATGAATGCAAGTCTTTTGCATTGTACCATTTACATAACGTTTGTTTACGTATTATGGTGCCAGCATTTCGGATTACAAAAATAATTTGCTCTAAAACAAATTGACTCCGCTTTTGATTGCATAACTTTATAGGAAGTATTCTACTTTCTGTGATCATCGTGTTGAACGTATCTATCAGCAAAGTTGACACATTAAAAGGCTTAAGCTGTTCTTGCTTTATATAATGCCTTACGCTACATTGAAAGCATAAATAAAGAACTGTTATGTGCAAAAACCCGATTTGCCAAGGCGTGTACAAATGGACCGGGTTTCATTCAGTCGTAATATTACGAAACGACATCGCAAAGCACTGAACAATGCTTGTTTACTTCCACCGTAAATAGGGTTGCGTACTTTTTAGATTGGTTGCAGGGTTTCATTATTATTAAATAGTTTAAATAGATAGAAAAAAAAGTACCTACTAGAGTCAAAGCTTTCGTTTAGTCAAACCTACCACACTTCATGCAGCTGAATGATAAGGTAGTGGTTTCAAATTGTAATAAAACGAAGATAGCTTCGCTTGTGTGCTTCGGAAAGACCGAGGAAAGTGATTTAGGATATGTATTGTTATGCAAAGCTAATCTAGACATTCACGTCGCTCGTTTCCTCTACGCCAATACCAAAATCTAAGTATAATAACATTTTATTAAGCTATTTTTTTACGTTAGGCAGCAAAGTTTTCTGATTGCCATAGAAATCGTAGAGAATTTTAGAGGAGGTGAACCTTTAAAGTCATGAATTATAACTACGATTTGCTTTTTGTGATTTTATCGGTCACCTGATAGGACTGGATGTAACCGTGGACAATAACATTAACTCTAGCTTTAGAAAGGTTGCCAATGCGTTCCATGACTTTTACCTGTCACAAAATACTGAACCTACAGATTTGTCACGTAGTCAACCCTGTCATTTGTGTCACGCAGGAAGCTCGGAGTCGGTCACCGATCGACATGCAGCGTCACGGGTCACTTGTCGCGCACAATGCACTGCGCCGGAGTCGATCGATGACGGAATGAAAGTGGGCTGTGTTACGTCAATGCTAATGGTCATTACAACTAGGGATGTTATGGATATGTAGTTTCGGTTATGGATATGGATATTTATTTCGGATATCGGAAAGTTTCGGTTACGGTTACGGATATCTGTGCTTTAGAATGCAATTTGCAATAGTTGCCCAACACGGTTCATTCATGCACTATTATTTATATTACTCTACACTACCTACATCGAATAAAAAAAAGTAATAAAAAAATAAAAATTGATACTAGATGGCATTATAAAGGTAAATCAGGCTGTTATGCCTTTACATAATGCTATACAAAAACAATTTCAACTGCCTACATCCGAAACTATCCGAAACTTTTGAATCGGTTATGGTTACGGATACGGTTACGGTTTCAGATTTTTTTTTATTTCGGATATCCGAAATTTTCTATAATTATAATTTTCTAAAATATAAAAGCTGTATGTTTCTTTCATTAAATACATAAATAAAATAAAGACGTAGGTACTATTAGATACTTGTACAATAACAGAATTGTATCAAGTAGCAAGTTGTGGAAAGTTAATGTGTGTATTAACCTAACAAAATTAGTTCAATCTAAATTATATTCCGAATTATTCGAAACCAATAACTAACCGTGAAGGAAATCCAACACCCATGATTATGCCATTGTTCTAAGCTGTGCCCCGAATGACTCCATCGACGCCAAACGTCTCGTGCTTGAAATTTGCTTCATTTGCAATTTCTCCGAGCATTGTCTGATTCGTCTTGCCCAATTTAGTTGGAATATGTATGAAGCAACGTGTGCAGAACGTGGATTGGAGTAGGTACTTTGATCTTAAGATGTAAAGCTTATAGATAGGTATTTGTAATCACTTTTTGATCAACTATTCAAGAATAATATTCTGAAAAAAGTAGGTAGGTATGTTAATTGCGACGACCTCTCTCTCTCTTTCACCCGTTATTTGACAGAAATAAATAATTAAATGCTTTATTCAGCCATACAAAACAATATCGGGAAGATTCATTTTATTCTATTTACGGTTTATTTGATTGGTTTACCTATAATATTGTTTCTAGATTCTAAAGTTACAATATTTTTTTTATGTATAACTAGCGGCCGCCCGCGACTTCGTACGCGTGGACCCCGTTTTACCCTTAGGGGTGAATTTTGGAGTTTTTTAGGGTTTACCCGGAAATTATTCAAACTTTTCTCGCTGTAAAAACCATCCTTGGACTTCAACAAACATTTAAAAAAAAGTATTCGTAAAATTGGTCCAGGCGTTGTTGAGTTATGCGCTTACCAACACATTTTGCGATTCATTTTTATATTATAGATTAAGTTTTCCAGATAACTCTACTTCTATGTTCTAGATTGCTATTTTCTATTGAACTTTCAAGCTATCATTTTGCCATCCAGTTCAGTTGTGACAGACGAGATCAAAGCACCTATTGTATTCTATGTAAATACGACTACTTATTGCTAATTTGCGTTTGCGAGTGCTAATTTCACTATATTACTGTATCTGGTATATACCTTTTCTTTATTTTAAGTAGAGCATACATCATAAATAACATTTGGAATCTGCGATAGAGCAGAAATTATACCAAATGTGAAAATTTCTACAATAAATTAGGTAAGACATTTATTATTAAAAGAAAAGTTCATAACAATATTTCGCTACTAAGAAATATGAGCCAAAATGGTACCTACTAATATAATAATAAGAGACTAAAAAGATATTAACCAATTAGCAAATACCCAAGTTAAAAAACAACCAAAACAACTGCACACGCCAGCTAGAATTGATTAAGTTCTAAAAACAATGATCTTGAGAACTTGTTTGTATTAAATTGTATTTGATTATGCAAATCAGTCACAAAAAGTATCGTGAAAAAGTTGGCCACTAATAGTGGTTCGGAATAGTCTAAAAAACGTGTCTGTACCTATTTCGTAATGCGAACGATCCACTGAACAATTCCACGCGAAGCCAAAGACCATGCTATCTGGTTCAGTTAATTTACTGTAAACGAATAGCTGAACTCAATAACTCGTCTAAATAACTGAAATGCTTACGATTTCTGGCTCACACGAACACTGCTGGAATAGTAATAACCTAAAAACAGTTATATTTTTGTTCATTCTACTAAACCTTCCATCTTAAGTAGAGCGAGTAGAGCCCCACTATTATGAGACACG